TTTATTTATTTTGAGAGAGAGAGAGAGAGAGCATGAGCAGGGGAGGGGCAGAGAGAGAGGGAGAGAGCGAATCCCAAGCAGGCTCAGCACGGAGCCCAACAAGGGGCTTGATCCCATGACCATGAGATTATGACCTGAGCTGAAATCAAGTCAGACGCCCAAATGACTGGGCCAGCCAGGTGACCCAAATTCTTCTTATTTTTTTTTTTTTAACAATAGATCACTTTCAGATATGGCTGTACCTTCTTCTGTTCGACACTGAGCTTCCACAACTCCCTAGCTCATATCTATTATTACCTGATCTCTCCAGTGGCCCTGATTTTAAAAGGGTCTGAAATAACTTATGAATGTGATGTCATTTTTCCTAGACCTCAGTCTGGTTCCCTCCCCATTACTGTTCCTTTTAACTTATAGAATCTTTCAGCTTTCTATTTAGGTATTTATCATCCAGCAGATAGAAGTCACTAGAAATTCTGAAATGTTAACCCCTCAGAATCTGGCCACGATCTACAGGAATGCAGAATTAGAAAAAAATTCTTTACTTCAAACTGGGCTCTGAATGCCTTTAAACCAATCACCTTCAATAGCCATTTTCATCTCAAGATAGACAGTAAATGAGCAGAAATCCTCCAATATTCTTTCAAACACCATCTGAACCCAAATACGTACTCAATTTAACAGAGCCATCCATCCCAAGAAGGATATTGTCACTCTTTATGTCTCTATGGATCACTTGGTTTGAGTGCAAGAAATCCAAAGCTTGGAGGCACTATTGAATCAGAAAAAAAAAAAAAAGTTCTAATTATATCGCAAAGAATTTAAAACAATTTACATTTTGTTTCTAGATATACTTGGGGCAAAGGCATACTTTTGCATTGTCAAGGAAAATAGATTACTATTGTATTATCATTTTGAAATCACATTACTGTTTACATCAATGCTGTAACTTAGCAGAATACATTATAAAAGCTTCTGAGTCAGCCAAACTAACCAATTAATAATCATACTTTGACCTAGTATCTGGAGGGTACGGATTCAGCTTGGTCTTAAACAGGTGTACTAAGCTTCTGTATCCACGGTATTTAATTCAGTAGGCCTGAAGTGGGACCCAGGAATCTGCCTTTAAAACGAGTGCCCCAAGCTACCTCTGATGGACAGCCATGGTTGGGAACCACTTCTAGTCTATGAAGTGGCTACAGTTACTTGCTTGGAAATGGCTTTGCATCATGCAACATGGAAACCGTAGACTCAGGGTAGAATATTCTAAGGATTAGAAGCTTGCTTCACTGCATGAATAGAAAATACATGTGTTTGGTGGATATGCGTACATCCTTGGGGAGGAGGAAAGGCAGATGGGAGGAGAGCAAGGGAGGAGGAAATTTGAGCAAACTATTTAAAATAAAACGCAAGCAAAGACTGGCCGAAATTACTTGGTTTTGTGTTCCCGCCATTGGTTTTCAAGTTGCAGCAGTGGGTCAGAGTTCCTATTTGTGTCTAGAGAAAACCTCACCACAATGAATGGGGTGGAGGGTAATGCCCCGGATGAGACTCCAAAGAGGGGTGTGTTTTTAAATATTGAAAAAAATATAAGAAAACATGTCCTCCGTTTAGCTCAAAACCAGGGATATGACACCGTTATTGGAAAAGAGGCAGACTCAGGCCCCCTCGAGGGGGGTGAGGGATGTCCAAATTGGACTGTGAAAGCAATGACTGTCTGGGCTGAGGGAGGACCTTGCTTAAATTGCCTTCTCGAGAATGATGGGATTATAGTGGTTTGTAATTCACGTGGCTCACGTTGTGCGTGCAGGACAAAATCATCAGCGTGTAAAAATCCCCCCAAATGTGAAGAAACTTCTGTGCCACCATTGCTATTTTCTGTGTTCATCGAGACTACAACATGCAGGCCGAGCATTCACCTTGCAAATGGCATAACAGAGTTCAAAAGATCCATAGCAAAATGACCAGAATATACAACAGGCTGGGAAGGGAGGGTAGGAAAGTGCGATTAGGAAAGGATTTAAATTGAAGTTAGGCTCTCCAATTTTTTTTCATAGAAAAGACACGCGATCATTGCTCTGATGTTCTACACATTCTGGATAATCAGAGAAAAAGAACTGCCGGTTTTAGTGTTGTCATCTGCTAGAAACACTCTGTTTTCTTACCTCTCTGCACACAGCTGCTATCTGGCCTTCATCCATACAGGTCTCGGTGACCACATCAGTCAAAGAGCCGCCAGCCAAGTATTCCATGACCACCCATAGTTCATCACCCACTAAGTAGCTATAAGAAGAGAATAAAAAGACTTTGACTCAGGTCTAAGGAAGTGGGGACTCTTTTATATCCCCATTAAGGTAATTTACAATTAATGTCTGCATTTGGCCATATTATATAACAAGAGGAAAATATCCATGACGGTGATGAGATATTCCTTAGCATTAGAGAATATGCATGAAAGTCAAAGGATCATCAGATATAACGGCACACCATGGAGGAAGGAAAAGAGCAAGGAGGCCTCTGGTGACTGACTACTGTCAGTCATTCCACTATAAAAGCTACTTTCAATAAACAGGATCAGTGAATAGCCACTATGTTATATCATATGCCATAATGTTGACTTCTTGGACTGAACTGGCCCATGGTATACAGAGTTGCAAGTTATGCATTCAGATCTCAGCATTGATTTTGAGGCTACTGGATTAATTACTGAACTCTTTTCAAGCAGTCTCTGAATCAAAAAGACTCCTGTTCACAATGGATTTACCGTGCTGAGGTCTCAATCCTCCAGCAGAAATCAGGGGCAACATGCCCAATTTCTTTAGGCACCTATTGAGGAGCACACGCAGATGATCAAACATGGGGAGGAAGGTCACCAGAGCCCTACAATTTGGACAAAATTCAAAACATCTGGAGTCATCTGAAGGCACAGTAGCAGGATGATCGGGTCTCTCTTCCCCTCCCCGCCCCAACTCAGCGAGAGAGAAATTTTGGAGAATGGAGTGAGCCCACTGATCCTGTCCTGCCTTAAGTTTGACATCAATAAGAAGCAAGACTTTCTATCCAGTGGTGCTCGAACTGCAGTGCCTATAAAGATTCACCTGGGGAGCCTATTAAATGTGAAAATTACAGGCTCTACCTCATCAGTAATAGAAAGCATCCTAGAAATCTCCATTTTGTACAAATGCCATTTTGACAAAATGAAAAAAGCAGAGTGAAGTCCCTCTGCTACAGATAGTCCCTAAATGGCACTTTATGAAACATAGGCTTCGCCTGTAAAATTTGACTCCTTTTTTTTTTTTTTAATCTCCCTTTTCCCCTCTTTCTTTCCCACCGGTCCACCTGGCACAAAACACAGAAAGCAAGATTTTAAGCTCATTGAGGTTGCAGACCTAGTCTTACTTCCTTTATATCCCCCCAGAGTACACAGCACAGCGGTGCTAAACAAACACTTACTGAAATTGAATGAGACAGATGTTAACCACAAGTGAAGAGTTAGTGCTGTCTTTTAATGCCTATTTATAACCCACTGCTAATACCACTGATGAAAGAGACATTAATTACCTGGTCTAGGAAAAAGGTTTGAGATTAAAGTCTCAATTCCCTAGACCTCACTGTCAGTTAATCACAAAGCGCCCATTAAAGCGGGGCCATTACAGCCAGCCCTCTTCACTTAGACACCCAGAGACTGCACTGGCTCCAAACAGTTGATGAAGTGTTTAAAACACCGCAGCTCTCCTCTATACGCAGTAGTCTATTTCCTGCCAACACGGAGTCACGATGCTCAAAAGGAAATTACACAAACTGCTCATGCTTAGAAGCGAGACCATAAAATGTGTCTTCAAATGTTTGATGGTGGACAAAGAAAAGTGGGTGCAAATTTAGCAATAGATGTGATACTCTACTCTTTTGCAGCATCCGCGAGGTTTTTCTAGCATTTGAGAAGTATTTGGAGAACGGATGCTAAATGAACAGATGTTAAATAAAATAATTTGCCAAGAAAAGAAAACAAGTACACAATGAGGGAAACCACTTACCTATCTAAATAATTAACAATATTGGGGTTCTTATTTTCCCTCATGACCAGAATTTCATTAATAATTAATTCCTTTTTGGGCTGCTGTTGAAGGTTCATCTGCTTTATGGCCACCTGAATGGTGATTAAAATGCACAAATGAGTTACAGTCATTAAACACGCACACGCATATATATATATATATATACACATATATACATATTTGGCACACAGAGTAAGGCATACAAATTCTTTATCTTACTAGGCTCTTTCTCAGTGCCACAAACCCATACCCCTTTTCTTTGGTCAATCACGAGTAAACCATCCACTTTAGACACTTTGGACATCTATGAAATAGATTCCCACGTCAACCCAGTGCCGCCCATTTTATCAGACATAGGTGCTATCAAAGAAGAAATGTGATTCGTGTGAATTAAAGGACAATTAAAAAATCAGGATTGAATGTTAGCACTCACCTCTTGTCCTGTTGCAATGTCTAGCGCTGTATAAACAGTACCTGATGCCCTGTGAAGGTGAAAGTTATCAAATGAATAAGGAATCCAGCTGCTATCCATAGATTTTACTTGAAATAAAATGTCTTTTTTAGGAGAGGGAAATCAGCAAACTCAAGATTCAAGGATGAAATAACCACGGAACGCCCCTTTTGTGTGGTAATTACAGCTGAAACAGTCTTAATGTATCCCTTTGGGTGGGCCAGTAATTCCAGTTGGACTTTCCAGCACTATGCAGTAATGAATTGAGCAAAATGGCCCTGCTCCTTTTAGGAAGCTCCTGGAATATTCTGAATACTCCCCGGATGTGGCAACAGCTAACATTGTAGTCCTCTGATTAAACTGAAGTACGGTTTAGGAAACAATACATCATCTCTTGTTTAGGCAACTGTAAATTAACCTTTCCTCTTAGCACATGGACAGAGTGCTTTTCCCATAGATATCTCTTTTTTTTTTAATTTTTTTTATGTTTGTTTATTTTTGAGACAGAGAGAAACAGAGCATGAGTTGGGGAGGGGCAGAGAGAGAGGGAGACACAGAATCCGAAGCAGGCTCCAGGCTCTGGGTTGCCAGCACAGAGCTTGATGCGGGGCTCGAACCCACAAACCGTGAGATCATGACCTGAGCCGAAGGCGGACACTCAACCAGCTGAGCCACCCGGGCACCCCTCATAGATTTCTGACTCTTAAGAATATTTTTAAGTAACAAATCAATCACACTGAGTGCCGTACTTACCTAGTGCTGCAGCTACACCAAGTAACGACAACACGGCCTTACTGTTGAGACATTTTTTTTTTTCAAAATTTCTCAACAGCTTCTACTATGACGTTTCCCTCCAACCCACCACCCTTTAAAAATCTATCATTCCTAAGGTCCTGGTAGTATTCATGCTCCCATTCTAACTTCAATTGTAGGGGTCTTTGCTTTGCACATAGAAATTGTGTAGTGAAGGTGAATTCACAGTGACAACGTTCTGTGAAACACATATGCATTCTGAACCACATCCCTACCTCTATTCCCAAGAAAAAGGAAAACCCCGTCAATTTCATCGAAATGTTTGTGGTGAGTAAAGGAATAAGAATGGAGATCAGTCCTGTGATTCACAGGGCACGGTAATGCTCCAACATTGCTACTTAAAATTTCTAGTAATTGTTGTTTCTCCTTTGTTCTCTATACATCACTTGCTCTTTTGTTTTCTGGGTCCAGGATTTCTTATGTCAGCCATTTCTTTGCCATTCTTCTCCCTTCTTCTACTTGGATGAACCAAAATATTTCTCCTAAGCCTAGGAAGTTTACATTACTGCTCCTAATGAATAAAATGAGTGGGGTAGTATAAGGACTATTTGACTACTAAGAGAGATCTGAGTCCTAATATTTATCCTAACAGCAACAAGCTGTGTGACCTTGGGCCAGTCACTTCCCTGTTCTGGGCTTCAGTCCCCTCAACTGAGAAAATAGTGATCACAAGAACAGTAAAAATATATGGAGCATGTTGTACATGTCAGACAATGCACTAAGAATTTAATATAAATCACCTTATGTCTATTACCTACCTCCACATTACAGACAAGGAAGCTGAGGCTCAGAGAGGTGAAGTGACCTGCCCTAAGTTAAACAGCTTATAGTCCAAGTCTGTCTGACTCTCTGACCTGTAAAATATAGGAAATGGGCCACTTTATTTCTACAGTTCTTTATTTTTTGAAATTTTCAAATTTATTTAATTATTTTTATTATTTTTTAAAGGTTTTGGGTTTTTTTTTTGAGAGAGAGAGAGAGAGAGAGAATGAGTGGGGGATGGGCAGAGAGAGAGGGTGAGAGAGAATGTCAAGCAGGCTCTGTGCTATCAGCATAGAGCCTGACTTGGGGCTTGAACTTATGAACCATGAGATCATGACTTGAGCTGAAATCAAGAGTTGGATGCTTAACTGACTGAGCCACCCAGGAGCCCCACAAAATTTATTTCAAAGTAGTATCTATGCCCAACGTGGGGCTTGAACTCACAACTCCGTGATCAAGAGTTACACGCTCCACTGACTGAGCCAGCCAAGCTCCCTAATTTCTAAGGTTCTTGAATTTCATGATGTACAATCTACAAATTCTGCTCTCTTCATTCTGCATAGGTACATACATATCTATTGGAACTTGACTAAAAAATTGCCCTTACTCAACAGGTGTCACCTAAAGCAGGACTTACAAGTTTCAGAAATTCCTCAGGTTTGAGGCTGATGTGAAATCAGCCTCTCAGTTTTGTATATTTGAGATTCTGGGTTCAGAGCACACGGTTCGTGCTCATTAAGTATTTGCTGAATGAACAAATTAATAAAAGTCTTTTCAAACAAACATCTAACTGCAACTAAACCTTTCCCTTCTGTGGAGGAATCTTCTACCTAAACCAACATAAAACACTTCCCTTGTGGAATAAGCTATCCGACATTTCTGATTTCAGGGGCCACTTTGTGATCGGTCCTTCTGAACTCAGAATCACCTGGGCTCAAAAGAATAGATCACCTTGACTTGGTGTGTATTTCAACTGCATGAGCCCTGAACAACTACCTAAATCTGTTTGTAGAATTATATTCAAAAATGCCTGGGTGGCACCTGGGTGGCTCAGTCTGAGGTTAAGCATCTGACTCCTGATTTCAGCTCAGAACGTGATTATCATGGTTCATGAGATCGAGTCCCACATCTGTCTCTGCACTGACGGTGCTGAGCCTGCTTGGGATTCCTTCTCTCTCTTTCTGCCTCTCCCCTGCTCATACATGCTCTCTCTCTCCCTCAAAATAAATAAATATTTAAAAAATACCTTTTCTTGCACATTTCCTTCAGGTGCCATAAAAGTAACAGTATCTGCAAAATGAGATAATGATAGCATCTTCCTCACAGACCCACAGGAAATTGAAAGGCACAATCTATGTAAGCATTCAGTCCTGTGCCCAGATCAGAGTTGGTGCTTAACACGGTAACTGCTATTATTATCAATTTACTTCCCCATCTCCAAGCCAAAACATCCTTGCTAGTGCTTGTCCCTGTTTTCAAAAAGGACAAAGGTAGTGGGGCACCTGGGTGGCTCAGTAGCTTGGGCAGCCGACTCTTGATTTCGGCTCAGGTCATGATCTCACGGTTGTGAGATCGAGCCCCATGTTGGGCTCCGTGCTGACAGCTTGGGATTCTCTTTCCCTCTCTCTCTGCCCTCTCCCCTCCCCTTCTCTCTCTCTGTCTCTCTCTCTCTCTCTCTCTCTCTCTCT